CGGAGGGAGCGTGGTGGGTAAGAGGGGTCAGATGACAGGCTTGTCGCTATGGCAACGCGGCTGTTTTGCAATCCAAGCGTCACGAGTGACCGCGTTCTGTAAATAGGTTGATATCAGACGCAGCATACCTTTGTGCTCTTCCATTAATGTGTTATTCCTGTAATGGCAGCTGTACGTTCGAGATTTGTTCCCACACTACACGTTAGATTTATTTTACCAGCTCGTTAATCACCTATAGTATTTTATATGTAAATAAATACCCTTGAGCATATTCAAAACGCTATGTGGTCCCAACCTACACAGAAGTTTGTACTATAAGTAATTTAGATTATATGGATAGTGGCTCCATACAAATGTTTCATCAAGAACAAGTCAACTATTTTATCTACGTATGTATAAATAGGGTTACCTTAAAATACATTTACTACTCAGTGTGTCGAAGAATATATATTATAAAGTTAAATTAAAAAATAAGAAGGATATAAAATTCGAACGATACTCGTCAGAATTTTGAAGAAGTATAAGAATTTGAAGAAACAAGACATAGGTACAGTGAATAATGATTCATAATAGTGCTTGTCTTTACTCATGACTTGGATTTATATCCAAGCCTAAACTTATAGAATGGTTTAATGTACATATAATTTTGAGATCACTAAATAAAAAAGGCATTCTATTTTTTTTTATTGTTTATTTTTAACTTATCACGGAAACATGGAAGCGTTCCATTATCCCCATAGCAGCTCGTGATTTCATTCCCAAAGCATGGCGTGTGAATGACAAAGTAAATCCTTTGTTTCGGCGTTAATTAGAATAATTGAGGCAGAACACCGCTGGAGGGTGAGCAGTTCGCGGTTGTTTGCTTAATTAACTTGCTCGCTTGTCATTTGCGTTACAATATTACGTAATACGTTGTTATTCTGTATTAATAAGTATTATGTTACATTCTGTTATAACCTTAGATTATATAAATGGAGCATCGGGTGTCAAATACATTTACTCAGCTAAACTGACATTTGACTGACTCAATTTGACACATTATTTTTTAACGCGACATTTTCTCGGTGTTGCAAATAATAGACTTAAAAATTTCCCAAGTCAGATTAATTTCTTAAATTTGATTTAAAAACTATTTTTACTGTATATACTTATTGTTAACAAATTAATATACATGCATTAATTAAGATGGCGGCCACTTTCAATGATTTTGAAACAAAAATATATTTAAAGCCTGTACTCAGACAAATCATAGCAATCAGTAAAGATAAGAATAATTATGATAATATTCTAAATAATTATTATAATTATGCATTGTTTACCTTATTATTTTAAAAATATTATTTATAATATTGTTTCATTTTTATTTTTTGAATTTGTTCTTAAAATATAATTTCCCTATATTATAAATAATAAATTAATATTAGGGTAACCCTATTCACGCACATATGTTTTTCTTTCTTCTACTATTTTTTTTCTTTTTTTATTTTTTCTTCTTTCAGTAAGGAGTGGGTCCTATCTTTATTGTTTTAATATGAAGTTGCTTACCTCTCGGCCTTTTATCAACTGGATCAATTGTCATTAAATTGGATATATACGTGGTATAATATCCTCAGTAACAGCATGAGGGATACCATAGATATAACAGTGTATTCTGTAATTTCCATGGTGATCTTCATGTCTGTAGTCGACGATTACCATTTTCCATCAGGTAGGCAGTCACCGTCAGTTTATGTTCCATAAAAATATTTCATATGAAATTAGACTTGGACTTTTTTATGGGGATCATGCTAACGGAAACGCAGGTATAACGTGAACGTACAGCGTATATTATTTTTAATTCTAAATTAATTTTTTTTAGCGAAAAATTTTACCCCCACAATGGTCGTGTACTAATTTTGCCAAAGTAAGGTTTTTTTAAACAATCTTAAATATACGCTTAGGGTAAGCGGTATATTACATGATAACGTTATTTAGCTACAATTTTTTTATAAAAAGGAAGTTAATTCATCGATCTAAGAATTAAAATCTTTATTGTGCACAGAGAAAAAAAAATATATTAATAGAGAAGTAAATATAAACAGTATACTCTGTTATGTCCATGGTACTACTCATGTCTATAGGCGACGGTTACCGCTTTCCATCAGGTGGGCCGTTAGTTTGTTTGCCGTTCTAAGTTGTATAAAAAAAAAGTAATATACAAGGGCGTGCTTGCCTCTAAAAAGAAATTTCCCTAAGTTTTCATTCGAAATATCTCGCTGTGACCCTAATAATATTGATGTCCATTATTAATATCGGTTGCAATGTAACTTAACCTTCAGTATAATTCCGCTATAATCTCATGGAATGTAGCTAATTATTATTAAGCATGTGCGATGCCACGTCCGTTAGTAGGCAGTGGTAACGCGCGGTGGCCGTCGAATCCAAATTAATTGATACCATTAGTGGATTGTTTAAGATGGCGTGTGGTACATACGATTAGAGGACAGCGATGTTTACTAGAAACTGAAAGCCTTGTAACAAATTAATCCTTATAAACGTAGAAATGTAGAAAAAGAGTTTCAGTTTAACTGGTTTTATTAAAAAAATAACTGTCCTGACAGATGTCGTTTTGTCAAAAACTATATTTTATTGAAATATTTGAATTGGCAGCTAGGAACAGTTTGTATGCGAAGAAGTAAAAGAATTTTTTTTTTAGTTTTTCCAGACAATTGTTTATCTTCATAAGAAACTTCTTGGACATTTTTACAAACATAAAAAAAATTACTTAAAAAAATTTGTCAAATCGTCTTAGCAATAAATACATTTAGAGATTCATTTTTACTTAGATTTGCAATGTGAAGGGGAGTTTGAACTGAAGAATTTTTCATTCTTGTAGTTAAATCAAGTTAATGCTTAATTTTTATTGCATTTTTCTAAATCTTTTTTTTTTTGTTTATTTTTTTGAAATAAATTTTAAATTCACTGCACTAAATATAAAAAAGTAAATCAAAAATCTGCTTTTATCATAATCCGATTTGCTCTGGGAGAACAATTGTTACTTATTGTTAAACTAGCGGCCCGTCCCGACTTCGCACGGGTGGATATTTTTACAACATTTTAAAAAGTCATTATTGTAACGATAATAGTTGGACATATAGTATCGCCAAGTTTTTTGTAGTTACTGATATTTTCTTCAATATTGTAGAACATACTTTTGTTCTATCGCCAATAGTTTCGTAGCGCACGCGACGAAAGATATTTTATAGCATTTTTTACACCTTCAGTTATATTACTAAAGTTTTAGTAAGGATCCCTAATCTTTTCTAACAATAAATATAGCCTATGTAACTCAAGGTGAATGTAGCTTTTTAATGATGAAAGAATTTTTGAAATCGGCAAAATAGTTTTTGAGTTTACTCATTACAAACATACATACACACAAAAATACAAATCTTTCCTCTTTATAATATTAGTGTAGATAAAAATATTCTTGCTCCTTCTGTCAACTTGCACCACTCGAACTAAGATGGCTTGCAATTATAACTAGATGGCACCACAGTATCTGGTCGCAGGGCGCATCTATTACTTGATCCCAGTCAAGTTAAACACTAACGAGAGTCATCAATTGACTGACCGTCGGACATCTCACAGGAATTGATGTTTCGGACGTGCTACATCGGCTATAATGATTTCTATCCCAGCTTGAAAGTTATTACTGTTATATTTAGCAGTGTGTGCCCCGGCATAGAACGGGCCACCCTTCCTTTCCCGTGGGTGTCGTAAGAGGCAACTAAGGGAGGGCGAAAGAATTGCAGCAGCGTCCTTTTAAAACATCTCTAAAAGCCTAGCTGCGGTTGCCAACCCGCCTGCCAAGCGTGGCAACTACTTGCAAAACTCCCCTCATGGGGAAGGCTTATGTTCAGCAGTGAACAGTTAACAGTTAAAATAATAAATACAAATATGGACCATATACAGGGTTGCTCATAGTGGGTATACTAAGCCGAAACCCTAGAGTATCTTATAAGGTATCTAAGGCGAGAGATTGGCAGCAGCGTCTCTTTTTTTATGGATGATAATGGAATGGTAACCCCGCCTGCGCTATCGGTATACGGTGGCGGGGCACCAGTGAGAGTGCGATGGGTGAGCATGAAAGCACGTCAGTGAGCCCAACGTGAAGAATTCCAGGCGAATTTACCACGAACTAAACTGAACCGATTGGAATCCTTTTAGATAAAAAAAATCCAAGTCGATTTGTAACTGACGCAATTATGAGATAACAAACAAAAAAAACTACAACCGAATCGAGTACCTTCTTATGTTTAAAGTCAGATGAAAATACATTTATGGAATATTTTACATTTTTTACAAATTACAAATAAGCGACTACTTAGACTTGCACGTAGCGTGGTTGCGATTTACAAACGATTGTATTATATTACAAATACTAACAAAAACTTAATTGATCGTGCCTCTGAAACAAAGATAAATAGACAGATAGATAATTTATTTGCATTACTTACAACACATAAATTACAATACAAACATACACATAATACACAGTGAAAGAGATAAAAGAATGAAAAACAAGAAAAATCAATAAAAAAAACCCAACAATTTCCTTTTTTCATGCGTGTGCCACAGTGACACAAAATGGTCACAACAAAAAGACAAGGCGATGTTGAATTGGCTATCTAAATTTTTTAATATACACAAAAACTTAGCACGTTATTAAAGTACTAATTTATTTAAATTTTTAATACACAAATATGCAAATAAATGTACATAATATGGCGAGTTTAACACCTTATAAATCGCCTTATATTTAAGACGACTTTACACTTTCAATGTCTTCTTTTAATACCGTTAATATTTTTGCACACTGTTATTGATTATTTACAATATTTACACAGCACTAGAGACATATTGCATTGTATATACTTCTCTCTATTTATGATTGTATATAACTATGGTATGTATCATATAAGTGCACAATTAGGCATACTTTCTGCACATTGTTACAGATACAGCGTCAAACTATCACTACAGACAAACGAAATAAAGCGGTGAGTTTGTGTTAGTTTGATGTACCTACCTACACGTAGCATGTGCCCCGTAGTTATATTTCGGACAAAGGAAATAATGTTTAATTACCATAGCACGAATGTCTAAAGTCAAACATACTTGTACGAGTGTACACATACAATACCTTAGTGACTGTACGTATAACAAGGAAATTGAAAGAATTGTTACTTTTAGTATGTTTCTTGTATGTATGTACCGCGGGTGTGGTACTTGGTTGTTGCACGTATTATCTGCTGTCTGTCTCTCTATCTATTGCCTTCACTGTTTACTGGCGCATGTCTGTACGTATTGCTGTTGCATATACAGAGTGAATTGAAAACGTTGGCACTCTCTTGAAGGAATATATATATAATTAGAACTTCCCCGGTTGAACACTTCCTTAAAAAGGTGCTATCCAATTGTACCCAATACACTTTGTAACGAAGACTTCGAAACACCCCTACATTCTGACGGATACCAGTTTCTATAAGGTGAGGTCGTCGGTTTATTTGCTCTTGCCAGTTATAAAAAATCTCAATTTAAAAAATAATATATCAAACGTAAATAAAAATCAATTGCCAAATGTATATAAGTGCATTATTTCTAAAATGCTAACAAATTCTTTTTTTGTTGTCCTTTTAAATTTCATGACAAGGTTTTTACAAAAGGAAATGTTTGAAAAATCATAGGGAAATTAAAAAAAAATTAAGATAAAATATATAAAATATCTCATTCTCAATCTCACTATCTATGTAAAACAGAACGTGCAACTAGAATCTGAAAAAAATTAACTAAACGGCTGGCCCCATATATATAAGGTAAATGTATATTATAACAATACGCTGGATATTGCTGTCTCTTTCTATCTCATGTATACTTAAAAACTGTTGCAGCAAATAAGTATATTTATTTGCCACATAGCAAAGGAAACTGGCATACGGATACTTAATAAGAGTAACAGATGTTGTAAATAGCAGGATGCAGTAATAAAACATATATGTATTTGTGATATATTTAGCTGTATCTTATGTTGGTAATCCTATAAATAAATAAATAAATATGAAATAATAAGTTTAGTGAAAAAAATACGAGACATGTCTTATAAAAATCTGACATAGAACAAACTTAAAAATTATACATTGTTTTAAAAGACCTCAGTGTCAACAGCCAGTATTAAAACTCCAACAACAGAAGCCATTACAATATTTTTTAGATTATTCGTCTACCTAGCTATCTATACATGAATAATCTAAAATATTTATCTAGATAGACATCTATATGTAAATTTATTTCGGCATCACGTAAAAACTACTGCATCGAATTTAAATACTACGTTAATACGTCTAATTTAATACCTAGTACACGTTTTATCATAATACACCATCTATGGTTATTAGCTTCCAAAATACACATATACGAAGTTGCGATCAGAAGCTAGTTTTATTAATAGAAAGATTTATTACCTCTCATGAAACTAATAACAAATTGTAATATATGAGCGTCTCGTTAGAACCATTACAGCTTCACGTATCCGGATATTGGCAATATATTGGAAGCGCTGCTCGAGTGATCAGCACTGAGCATGGAAATTATTGCTACATTTAATTAATTACCGGCCAAGAATTGCTGAATACTGTAATATTCCTTGTCAGTGAGTAGTGAAATTATGTTATTTTTAAAAATTCCAAATGTCTCTGCCTCTGTTATAGAACGCAGTAATTTATTAGATATTTTTAGGCCTATACCATGACTTACCACTGGACGATGCTCTCTACCAGTCAACTGTAATATTAATAATATAGGTGGCTTCGAAATTAATCGATTGAAAAACCTGTTGAGAAGAATTCTTTTACAGTCACCGGTATTACAAAGAATATCAAGTAGCCAACTGAGTAGTGGTGCGTCAAGTCGTAAAGCAAGTCCCGACGGGTCGCAGGTTCGAACTGGGTTAACTGCCACTCTAACAATCTCGTAAAACGCGAATATCCGATCTCCATCGCACGATTTATAGGTGCTTCGTGTTCATTGTAATCTACAGAACTATAATATTACAATTTACGCCAATCCGTACCGCTGTCCCACGCGTTAGACCTCACGAACACGTATTCGAAATTTGTCAATTGTTCAATATCTACTTTAAGTAAAGATAAGGTAAAATTATCTTTATTTAAATACACTGAATCTTGTAACGTAGTAAGATCACTACGTGACGCCCAATGAGTTAACAATAGGGTGGCAGAGCGAATAACATGCCAAGGACCCCCGACCTGAGAGAAACCTTTGTTCGAGTGGCCGTGAGCACAGGAAGAATGTAATATTTATTGCATAATTTTATAAAAATAAAAAAATATTTATTCAATTTAAGAATTAGAACATTAAGAACATACATGAACTGTACAAATAAATTATAAAGGCTCAAACCAAAGAGGCTTGTTTAAATAGATGTATTTGGCATTCCAATGTGTCTACCTACTCCAATGAGAGACAGGTGTGACAGATATCAACGATAAAAAAAATATAAGGTTTTAGCAAGGTATTTTCAAGTAAAACCAAAAAAAGACACATTAATTAGAATAGTGATGGTAAATATGAAACTACAACGGCAAGCTTATTTCAAGGTAGGGCCCCATCCAATGAATTTACCACGAACTTAGGTGATATAGTTACGCCACTGATGACTCCGCTTCTCATGATTTGATAGTACTAAGAACATAACTTTCTATGTAGTTACTCTGTTATTTTAGAAGGATCTAGCAGTCTTTTTTCTAAAGCTATAGTATTTTTTCCATTGCTGTCTTCAACCTTCATCACTGAAATCAGTTAATTATATTACCAAGCCTACCAATTACGGAAACAGATAGACAATTTAAACCCGCATTGAAGTCAACTACAATTACATATACTGGGTTCAAACTTGAAATTTTAAAATCTTTCACTAGCATTTACATTACTAGGGCTATGATGTGACTTAAAAATATTACCAAATATACATCTGTTAGTATTGTAGAACTAAAGTGCTATTTATAATAACCATTTAGCCTATATAAGCCTTTTGCAAATTCAAAATGTTAATATTTTAAGTATCTCATATTGTTCGTAATAATGGATGGATGAGTGTTTGTTACTCTTTCATGCAAAAACTACTAAACGCATTTGAATGAAATTCGGTACACGGGTAGATTAAATCCTAACTTAGCGCATAGGTTACTTTTTGTACTGATTCAAGCGAGCGGATCCGTGGGATACAGCTAGTTATAAATATTCTTATCTCGTAGAGTACGCTACAAAGTGCTACAACTTTATATGAGGATTCGTAGCACTTACACCGTAGCTCGTAGCCACGTAGCAACGTAACAGTGTTATTCCATTAAATATATCGTTAAAATAAATCAAAATTGATGGAATTACCGCGTAAAATACTTGTATTAAAAAACTCTAATATCGCTTAAGATCATCAGTATTCATAATACCTTACTTTTATTACATACTAGCTTTTACCTGCGATATCGTCCGCGTGACCAGGATATATACACTGACCGTGATAAAATAAATAAATAAAAATTGTTTTGAATAAAGTAAAATTAATAATAAGCATTTATTAATAGCCAATTTTTTTTATAAATCTACCGCAACATTCGGAATGCAATTTCAGCTAAGAAGAACGAGCAAGAAACAACAAAAAATAGTCTATGTATTTCTATATCCCATATAATACGTGTATACTTAATTTCATAGTGACTAGTTAAGCCGTTAAGACGCTGTAAGCTAACAAACAAACTCACTTTTACATTTATTTTATTAATTATCCTGTTGATGTCTTCAAAGCGTCTAGTATTCCGCTAATGGCTTGAAGTGACTTCAAATTACGTCTCACTGCTGTGCAATATGGAGGGATATACTTGCTTAATACTATCTCTTACCAACCCACTCCAGATACAAATTAGTATGTATTGTGCATACGATCCTTGCGTGAACAATATATACTAATAACTAAAACCTGAAACAAAACCCAATACGTGATTTATTCTTATAAAAAATAAACGACGCAAACAGACCCTCGCGGGCAACTATTTCTTTCACTACTTCAAAATGTGCTAGATTTACTATTGTTATATTATTTTCTCAAACATGCTTGGAAATGTGAGCATTATTTTGACAATCTTCTTCGAGATAAATCAAAATTGCCGTACTGGCCAGATACATGCGGGCAGCGGCCGGCAAAAGTTGTATGAAATCCATCCATATCTGTCGTGTTTTGCGGCCAGATAAATTACTATTTATACTCATATCTGTCCTGTAATTTAAAAATGGAATGACCTTTTACTTCGAAACATGACTACCAAGGAGGTAACTAATAAAATGATTTATTTAAATTACGAACTGGCTTGCAATTAGAAAGCTGTTTATTGAAAAAAAAACAAAGGAACATTATGGCGCGTGAAAAATTATTATTGTACGTTATTCGTCATTGAACTTAAAAAGTAAAATTGTGTTTTTGATTTCCATGCATTGTTTGAGAAAAGTATTATACAAGCCTTGGCCACAACTAGACATTGATGGACTCACGTATGTGTGCCTCGACTACACCTCGGCCCACATTTGCACGTTCGTCCATCAATGCCTCAGTTGCTGGCCGCTGCAGTAATGTACTATTATATTTCACGAAACTAACACGCTATAAACACTTTAAAAAAGAATCGTGATAATTGGACATAATATGTCGCGTAATAAATGTCGTTAGAATGGACTAAGGGAGGGCGAGGGATAGGTAGCAGCGTCCCTCTTAAAACATCTCCAAAGCACTGCGGTTGCCAACTTTCCTGCCAAGCGTGTCAACTAATGTCAAAATCGCCCAAAGGCAGTTCAGCAGTTCAGCAGTGGACAGTTAAACGCTGATATAATGATGATGATTTAAACGATAAGGTAGCCCATTGATTTCCTAGTGTAATCATTTCTAGTAGTTGTTTGTATCTATAATAAAACTATTGTAATCTTTTGAAGGAAACTATAAAGAGTATCTATATACCTATATAAAATGTAATGTTCGTGTGTAAACATCTGGATGGTAATTCATTACATCGTTATTATAACACGAATTATAACTTCATTGTCCGCACACTACATAACTATTATCTCTGGCGGCCGAGCGTTACGCTGTTGGAGCTGTCACTAGAGAGGCGGCCGCTTTGTGGCATACCCACTCTCAGTAGGTACACAGCAATATCGGCTGTTGGCGGTTCGCTTTAAACGCCACGTCTCCCATAGACAATATGCTATTAACGGAGGTGTTTCGTGGGATTCAACGTGATGAAAACGGAATTATTGTGGCGTTAATATAATACAATATTATATTACATACGTACTTAGTTACGACCCCAATAATAGACCTCTATTGAGACGTTCACACAAAGGAGTTCAATTAATATCTTAGTACATCAAAGTAGGTACACGAACGAACGCTTAATTCGTTGTGTGGTCCCGGCATAGAATTGGCCACCCTTTACTTTCCCGTGGGTGTAGTAAGAGGCGAATAAGGGTGCTTAATGATTGTGGTATAGGCAGCAGCGTCCCTCTTAAATCACTAAACCTGTATTCGAGTTCTATACATTGAGTATTCGAATTCTATGTATTGAATATTCGAATTCTATGTATTGAGTATTCGAATTCTATGTATTGAGTATTCGAATTCTATGTATTGAATATTCGAATTCTATGTATTGAGTATTCGAATTCTATGTATTGAGTATTCGAATTATATGTATTGAATATTCGAATTCTATGTATTGAGTATTTGAATTCTATGTATTGAGTATTCGAATTCTATGTATTGAGTATTCGAATTCTATGTATTGAGTATTCGAATTATATGTATTGAATATTCGAATTGTATGTATTGAGTATTCGAATTCTATGTATTGAGTATTCGAATTCTATGTATTGAGTATTTGAATTCTATGTATTGAGTATTCAAATTCTATGTATTGAGTATTCGAATTCTATGTATTGAGTATTCGAATTATATGTATTGAATATTCGAATTGTATGTATTGAGTATTCGAATCTATGTATTGAGTATTCGAATTATATGTATTGAATATTCGAATTGTATGTATTGAGTATTCGAATTCTATGTATTGAGTATTCGAATTCTATGTATTGAGTATTTGAATTCTATGTATTGAGTATTCAAATTCTATGTATTGAGTATTCGAGTATCTAAATATCTATTAATTATTCGATTCATTACTCGAATCAGCCTAATTCCTAATACTATCACTAATTGGATTTTTTTTTATAAGTGTACCACCCCTACTAATGAGTATTTGTCTTATAAGTTTGAACTCAAATACATATCCGTTTTGTAGCATGATTGTTTATTAAGTACCCTTTATTAGTAGCAAGTTGTGCTGACGAGTTCACAGTCGAGTCACGCCTCACTTCACTTCCTCAGTCGGCTGCGAGTTCATTTGGATCGTATCAGAACATCTCGAACGTCAGTCAACTAAGTTGGGAGCAACCAGCCGTAACATAACTTTGATATACGACTTATCGTTACTGTAAGGGCTGAAATATATATCTACTCATTCGTAAGCGGATTACAGAAGGAGCCTGTTCTTAATTCGAATGTTATTCGAATTAAGAGCAGACGATTCTACTTCCGTGTCGTTTTTGGATATTCATTCTATGACAAATGAAACTGGCATTTTTAGCAAAGCAGAAAACTAAATTTTGCGAAGCAGGATGTACAGGATATGGCGTGAATTTACTGGGTACAGAGGAATAACACCCGAGTCCTCAGGAATGGCAACGCATGGGGGGTATCATGGGCGAAACAGTACACTCTGTTATGTCCATGGTACTGCTCATGTCTGTAGGCGACGGTTACCACTTTCCATCAGGTGGACCGTCAGCTAGTTTGCCATTCTAAGTTGTATAAAAAAAAAAATTTTTGGATCTGCGGTAATTACCGTAGTCGTGTTTAGGGGCAGGTTGGATGTAGCGGCGATGCCCATCTCAGAATCTTCTATTGCCCAGGATAAAGACTGGAGCCTTCATCTATAGACAAACACAAGTCAGAGAATATAAGTCCTGTTGAATTAATCGTGATGAGCTAACTGACTTGATTGCATTCTCATCTATCTCTCACTAGTCTCCCGTTAGCGTATACTAATGAGACAAGCGGTGATATCATTGAATTTTAACACTCTTTTTATGATACTTAGAATGGCAAACAAACTGTCGGTCCACCTGCAAGAAAGTGGTAACTGTTGCCTATACACATGAACAGCATTGTGGATTTTGGACAATACTATGTGTTTCTGCATGAAAAGCAAATGTACTTGCATGGGTGTATTTCAATGTCATGGAATGGGGCGTGGCAGTAAAATAGCAGGATACGAAGTCATAACACTCTAATCGTCAAAAATAGCAGCGTATGAAGTGTATCTGTTTTTTTTAATGGATGAAAATGAAATGGGAACCCGCCTGCGTTATCGGTATACTCTAGGGTTGCAAGGAAGTCAGTTAGCCCTTCGTGACGAATTCAACAAATATTAACCACGACGACTTCCAGGGGGAAAGTGGAAGTCCACCTGATAGGATATTTGATTCCATTACCAACAATCCTCTTCTCCCATATGAACCCCTCATCACCAGCGTCACAGTACACTTTGCGATTTCCATGGTACTGTTCATGTCTATAAGTGACTGTTATCACTTTCCATCAAGTGGACTGTCCACTTGTTTGTCATTTCAAAGCGAGATGCCCACCACTGCGCCACGCAGATCATTTACTTTAGTCACAGTATTGATGTACCGGTGTGTTCCATTTGTACACAGGATCACATGCCTCCACCTGCCGCTGCAGTCCAAGTGGGTGCACGTGGGCACGGAGCGCGGCAACGTGCACGTGGTCAACATCGAGACCTTCGCGCTCAGTGGATACGTCATCAACTGGAACAAAGCCATCGAAGTGTAAGTACTCACTTGTTTCACACCAGCTGTATATAACACGACATTCATGCGGTGTTCATTGTGTTTTCCCATGGGAACACTTTCCCGCAGTAACAAATATTTATATCGGTCCGTCTGTAAACTTAATTTGTCTACTTTTATACACAGCCGTTTTAAATAGACTTTTTAAAAGAATAAACCCCTTAATTATAAAAACTGAAACCTTCTACAAGCCTGTTTAACTGTTACTTTATTTTGTCACTTTCCTTCAAATTGGGAATTTAGTATAAAAGAAAGAGACAAAACAGTTTAACAGCGAAAATAGATTTATGAGAGATTTAACTTTTTATAAACAAGGGGATAAATGTCCTAATATAAATAATTATGCATTACAATTATGCTATTGTAATACCTGAAAAAATCATCTGAATGATTGAAAATAATATCGACTGATCGTTGTGGTAAAAGTGATACGCGACATACTTGTATTGCAGTATGACAACAAGGAATGAGTCGAGCACCATACCACCGTCACTCGCATTAAATTGATTAGTCCACTTTTAGTGGACTTTTCTTTTTAAGAGGGAGACTTTATACAAAAGTCGATTGCTTGTGTACCTCTGTCACATTCGTGTTTCAACCATAAAGCAGTTGTGTTTGCATGGCTGTATTTCGGTTTGAAGTATGGGATATGACGTGAATTTACTGGGTACAGAGGAATAACGCCTGAGTCCTCAGGAATGGCAACGCATGGGGGGTATCATGGGTGAAACAGTATACTCTGTTATGTCCATGGTACTGCTCATGTCTATAGGCGGTGGTTACCACTTTCCATCAGGTGGGCCGTCAGCTTGTTTGCCATTCTAAATTGTATAAAAAAAAATTCAATTAACAAAGTTTTGGATGTCTTGTAAACAATAACTTTATCTTTTTAAAAAGAATGAAATACCTCCTCACTGAATTGTGGTTAATACTCAGAATATACTAAACGATCCTAAATAAAAGCGAGAAGCGGTTACAAGTACGATAAATATCCTAAACAGGATCCACTAATCGGCGCATCTATCAGCAGGCTCAGAGGTCCTATTCTATAGAGTGAAACTCGAATTTTACCAATGTATCTGCGATTGATTTACATTCGGAATACCGAATACTGAATACAAAATACTGTAAACATTTATCATTTTATATTATTCAGCATCGTCTCGTTAAGATGGCGGCGAAATGAACTGGGGTAAATGTGTATTCTTGGGAACTCACTTTAGTTTTCAAACCTGTTTTCAATTCATTTGTCATTCCCAAAGACTACTGAAGTGAAGGAAATGGGTCAGTAGCTAAATGAGGCTTGTTTAGGTTTGTTTTTTTCTAATAATGAAAAAAAAAACATAGCGCGATAACAGTAAAAAATATAATAAGTCGAAAATATACTTACAAAAAAAAACAAATATTAGATAGATAGATAGTTACTCTTTATTGTTTCCTCCAAAAGATTACAATAGTAAACTTATTCTAGATATAAACAATTACAAGAAATAATCACAGTGAGAAAACAATGGGCGACCTTATTGCTAAGAGCGATCTCTTCCAGGCAACCTTTGGATGGAGAGGAGTAATTATAAACAATTTGATCGGAGGCACGATGAAAATCCTTATTACTTCTAAATATGCACATGTATATTATAAAAAATGTAGCAAGGAGTTCGTTACACTTACACATATCAAAAATTAGATGAACTGAAAACTTGCTAAATGTAGTGTGAATATTTACAGAATAGGATAACAATACCTGAGAGGCATTCTTCGCTGCTTACGTTTAACCCGTAACGAAGCGTTGCGCCCCGGAGCCCCGGGCGCCCCCTATTAATCACGGCTGCTGAGGGCCAATTAGCTGCCTGGCCTTTTATTAGATATCACTAAGCCGATTAAAACACACACTTACTAATTAAACTCCGGGGAATTAAGGAGAAACAATTAGAGGGTTTTTTTTTATTGCCATAATCTTTAGTGGTAACATTAAGTGGGATAATAAAATTGGCTGTATTTTAAGAAACTAGCTTTGCCTGTGATTTATTCTATTGTTAAATCGCGATAGAAAATAAACTATATCTTTTTCCATGGCAAATAACGTATAATATCAAATTTCATTACAATTATTAACTTCTTTTTCGTCTATTATAAACCGCTGGCTTTGACTCGTGATCTGACTTGTGATTTGACTCTGTCCATGACACTGGGATATGTTCACGACCGAAATGAATAATATTATGTGTCCTTTTCCATCCCATATAATATATAGTACGTATATATCAAATTTTACAGTGATTGATTAAGCCGTTAAATTGCTAAGGGGCAAAAAACAAACTCACTTTCACATTTATAATAATAAAGATATATGCATTGGCTAACATCTAATATACAGCTAATATCAGACCTTCAATATCTAAATAATGAAATCTGATATAGGTATACGTATTGTAGTACATGTTTTTTACATATTTTTATTTTAATTTTTTTTTTATTGTAATTTGTGTGCTGTAAGTAATGTAAATAAATTATCTATCTATCTTTTATATTGTGTGTATGAACATCTTTATAAGACGCAGGAAAAACTTACTTTTTATTCCGTTCCATCTGTATAACTCGATCACGCACAAAGTCGCGGGTAAAAACTGTTTTATAATATTCTGAAGACATTGGACGGCCCCAATAAAAAAGCGCTCATCCAATGTAATGTTCCAACTGCCAACCGACCGGCGACCCCGCGCGTCGTAAAACAATATATTTAAAAACACAAACTTCGTCCATTTTGTTGTGTAAACTTCTTAACATGTAAGAAAATTAATAGTTTATGAAGTTTGTTAAGTTATTAATTTACTGTATGTACTTAAAGACAATGTTTTATTATATATATATATATATCATATCAGCCTTTAACTGTCCACTGCTGAACATAAGCCTCCCCTTGGGGGGTTTTACTAGTAATTGCCACACTTAGCAGACGTATTAGCAACCGCAGTTAGACTTCAGAGATATTTTAAGATAGACGCTGTTGCTCATACCTCGCCCTCCTTAGTCGCGACACCCAAATTCGCTTAAACCCACGATATAATATACACAAATAATATACGAGTACATATCAGTGTTTTGCTCTTTTGAGGGCAAAGCAATAAACTGAGCTGTGACGATTTTGTGTTAATATGGCACACGCGTGAAAGAAGGAAATTGTTGTTTTTATATTTTGCTTTTTTTTCGTTTTTCTTTCTTTTATCTCTTTTACTGTGTATTATGTGTATGTTTGTATTGTAATTTGTGTACTACAAATAAATTATTTATCTATGTATATACTGTTAGATATTCATTATTCTCTCACTTTCAAGATGGACTGATAACTTTTCAAGATCTTTGTAATTTTTTTCCTTGTACAATTTGTTTTCGAATATGACTGTACAGTAATCTTTATTTTTACCAAAAAAAAAATGTAGTTTTACAAATCAAACAGAATAATTCGCTAGCAAATCACTGTTTGTGCTGACGATTCAAATTTCGGCCTATCTCTTAGGTTTTGAATCTAGAACGGACTCAGTTAGCAGATCGTGAACGGATTATGAGAGATAAGCTGATTTAGAACATAAATCTGATTACTTGGCGTTAAAATGCGAACAAAATTAATTTAAATTCGATAAAACCATACTCAATCTCATAATATAGGAATGTCTTTCATAGAAATTTATTTATATATTATAATATATGGGACAGTGAAATTACAAGACATTTTCCTTCTTTCATATTCCTTAGTTCTTAAAAATGGCAACACATGAGGGGTATCATGAGTGACACAATATACTCTGTAATAAATACCGGTTTAACTTAAACGCGCTCGCGTCACAACCGCTGTTGATTAAGGATCACGAATTGTTCCCGAAACTAGTTGAGCTTTCTCAATCTAATTACACGTAAGTTAAAGCGGCAATTATTAAAATAAAATGTAATGTATACTTATGAAACTTTAACAAGAAAACAGTATACTCTGTTATGTCCATGGTACTGCTCATGTCTATAGGCGACGGTTACCACTTTCCATCAGGTGGACCGTCAGCTTGTTTGACATTCTAAGTTGTATAAAAAAAAAAAAAAACAGAAATTGCTAAAAGTCAATGTTTAACAAAGCGTATACTCGGTACGTCGTATTCTATAATTACATTACATAATGGCGAGATTTCAACCATCACGCATTCGTGAGTGCACTACGTGACCGGCCACATGCGGGCCCAAAACAAACGGACGGACATTCAATTAAGCCTCAGGGGGGAGTACCTGAGAGATAATTAATTCTATAAGTATAAGGGATCCCTTATAATTTATATTATCTATTTAACTTCGCGTCCAATCTCTTGTGGAGTGGGCAAAGAAATTCACGTTATCCTGTTTTGGAAACTATTTCCTAAGCATATATTTAAAACTTGGTCCATTTATTTACCTTCTGCGTATTGTATAGCCGTTGTTTCTTTTTTATTTAACTCTAGCTGTTACTTGAGGCTTTTTCTCGCACAATCAATTTACAATATATGTGTTAAGTTAGGATATAACCTATCCATGTACTAAATTTTATTCAAATCTTTTCAGTAATTTATGCGTGACTACCAAACATACAAACATCTTTACAATTATTCATATTTATAGTACTAATAGTAATCTTATACTAATATCTCTCGTTCCTGTAGAATTTTCTTAAAACGTCTTGCACTTGTAAACAACATCCTTTATTTTTATATATATGTACAGAGAGAGAGCTTCATTGCCAATAGTGACTGAAATAACATATTTTTTTCAAATATATCCTAAGTCCGTATATATAAAAACATTTAGAGGACACTCCAAAGGGCAATAAGAATAAAATGTTCTGAGAAAGTTAACCAACCCCAGTCAAATTACAACAAATACAAGTTTTAATGTAGTGTAATCGTGTTTTTTATACTACAGCGCCATCTAACAACTATACGAGCCGCCACCGCTGAGCAGTT